GTACGCACACTCACAGTTAGTTGTAAGCTATCTACAACGTTTTTTGCAGACATCTTTGGATCTTTTTTAAATTCGCGCACTATTCTCAAGTCTTCCTTTACCGAAGTGAGTCTARGACGTCCTCCAATATTAAGTTTTTTCACGGTTCCATCAGCTTTGTGCTTGCGTAAAATAGCAGAAATAGTTGATTTCCCAAGAGAATATTTTTTGCAAAGCTCCTTTTGCTGCACACCTTTTGCGAATTCGCTTACAATTAATAATTTAAGTTGAGTTGAATGTATTTTTCCAACCATTTTTAACTAAAACGATTTTTAGTAGCTTTATTCGTAAAAAGTGTAAATATTTCACAACACACCCGTTCTCATTAAAGCAAACAATTCGAATAAGTCTGATCTACGATTTGAAATTCTAAGTACCTGCAAAACTCTTTTTCTGACAGAGAACGGTAAATTAATTCATTGGAAATGCTTATTTCGGCAATCAAAGTGTAGTCCAATAAGTTATGTCGCGCGAGTTTTTTACTTTTTTCTCTTCTGGTTTAAGTTAAAAATTGTACATAAAAGTTGAAAAATAAAATTCAATTGTTTTTTAATGTAGAATATGCGATCTTTCTTTTGCAAAAAAAAATTATTCTTCTAATGCATCCAAGTAAAAAGTTATGACGGAATATGTGTGAGACTCGAGTTAGTCCAATGAGTTTTGTCCGACACTGTACATTAAATGCGTCCATATAGTAGCGTTACGGTTATTCCGCTGTTTGATGCGTTTAGAGGTGGTCAATAAGTTCAGAAACTTTCGGAAAATCAGTTCTCATATTTTATTAGAGTCCAACTGAACTTTCTGCATCTCTCGAATAACTTTTCCCTTCAGAAATTACTTTTTTATCCTCCTGCTAATTCTCCTTCCATGTCCATCTGGGCTCTCACTAGCAACTTCCTCTGCTATGATCTAGTACTACAGAAAACCATATTTCGGGACTCGCCGAAGACGATCAGCCTCAACCCATTTGGAACGTTTCATCAGGGAGGCTGAATTTACTGGTCGTCAGACATTCTTAGTCCTTTGTGGCGTTGAAGTCGGCGAATTTCTTGGACGGTAGAGATGTCAACTTTTACTATTACGAAGACATCAACCAGCTGGGAAGCGTCACCTTCCCATTTAAAGGACCGGACATTCCAGGTGCACGCCCTTATATCGTAACTCCTTAACACGTTTGTAGGGGTCATCATCAAAAGGGGGTCTCTCAACCGATGCTGTTTTAATCCTTTCATTGGTGGTGCTCTACTTGCACTATATGTAAAATAATCGTTTTTGCCACTCCGAAGTGAATGGCGCTCAGAGGACTTTCCTCATTTGCGTGAACATCTACACATGACTCCATAATGATGCCAAAGCTAAAACGCATCAATTGATAAGGGTATTCTACAATTTTACTGTATTTTCTTTTTGTTTATTCGTTACATTTTCTCAATGTATTGACACACAAAAATGCAATAAATTCTATTAGTTTAAAATTTCTAAATCTTTTTAACGCCTCTGTCGACAGTCCTAAAATGGGTGAAATCGGATTATAATCACTCCCAATTCTAATAAAACATTATTTTGAAAACTACTAGAACTGTGATAACTCACTAAATAAATACGCCAGAAGCACCTCTCCGTCTATATATATCAAGTTGCTTCCGCCATAAGCTCTCATTCGAATTATTAACACTAACTAAAATAAAGGATTTTGGTGGAAGGAAGGTCGGTGTGCGCCCCCTTCGAAATCAATTATGCGCCATTTGATACACTATCGTAGTCCTTCCTGATGTCACGATATCGTATTGCTGAAACCATTAGATGCCCTCAATGAAACTACTTATATCTTTTTGTAGAATAGACATTCAAGGTTTGGTATCTAATAGATTTCAAGATTTTGATGTGTGGTTCATCATAGAGCAAGCCACCCATAGAGAAAGTGTAGTATCGTTTCGTTACTCCCTATATGATTTTGACAATTTGACATAACTCGTATTTTCCAGTGTGTGTGCCACATTTTTCATATTCAACTTCCATCAACCAAAATTTGTTTGTGTACTGTTTCATTTCGATTTTAAGTAATATTATATGCACAGAAAATATTTCAAAATTGATTTAAAATATTTTATTAAAGTCAATTTACAATTCCAAAACTGTTGAGATTCTTATTATTATTATTATGATTATTTAATTCAACAAATTTATCATTTGTTATTTATACAAAAGTTATTTTATGTATAATTATATTTGCTACTTAATAAAAAATATTCTAGTGAACTATAATTACAACTGTAAACAAAATTGAAGGCGCCATTCACTATACAATTTGATGTTTAGGTATAACATATAGCACAAGATTTCTCAGTATGCACATATGTATACCCTACGGCTTTTCAAAATTCCGAATATGTAATAGAATTTCAGAAAACCTAAGCTACGACAAATATAGTAAGAAAATTTTTACAAGGTTATTACCGCTTTTTCTTAAACATTTTATTGAGTTTCCGCCGTTTCAAAATCATATCATAAAGAACTTCAAAACCTTCTTGTAAACCTTCTCCAGTTATGGCACAGGCTGGTTGAATATACCAACCTTTAAATTGGTGTGATGGTGTTGAATAGCTGATTGATTTGGTCATTGATTTTGACTGGAATAGTGCATTAACAGCTGTAGCAGTCGGAGTTGTCACTACTGAAGGTTGTGAGGATCCACATGACAACAATTGTTTGTCGCGAGCAGTCGACAAAAATGATGTGTATATATTACTAGTATTACTAATTCCATTGCTAATTTCAGATTCTCGTTCAGTTTTTATTTCTCCAACTGCTGCCACTGATGACGATTCGCAGAGTTGGTTACTGTCACCACTGTTACTAAACATTTTAATGTTGTGTTGCGATGTGGGTGTCATAGTTTTACCAAACGTATTCATACTAATTGTGCTGCTGCTACACACAATACTACCAGTTGATGATGAGCTCGGTCTTGTATTTTGCGTATACATAGCTGGATATAATAGTTCATGAAGTCCTAATAATTTTTCTAATTCCTTAGGATTACGAGCACCAGGTAAATCTTGTTTGTTAGCTAATATCAGAACAGGAACACCCTAAATATAATAATTAGGAGCTTTTCTATACAAAGTTATATTAAACTTTACTTGATTGTCAGGGCACTTTACGGTTCTCATAAGTTCCATTTTAGCTTCCTCCATTCGCTCAACATCAACTGAATCGACTACAAAGAGAATGCCATCAGTACATCTGAAATGAGCAATAATAAATCAGTTAAAAAATACATGGTAATACATATTAGTAATATTTGAGAAGAGGGATAGCTTTTATAAATTAAATAAAAATACAGGTCTTTAAATATTAATTTTCTTCATGCTTTTGTCAAAAATGTTTCGGTATTTGGTTATTCAGACTAACGTGTGAGGATTGGCAATTGCTTGCACTAAGGGCTATACTCAAGGTCAGCACTTTAGCGCAAACAGCTCTATTACACCGGATACGCGTGTGACTGTTTTGTACACGTGAAGTATTAAAAAAACGTTAATCAAAATTTTAGTAAATCTTTAACTCGATTTCCAAAGTGGTTTAGTTTAGAATTATTTCTTTGTTTGTTATACTCTTGCAACATGGTGCTACAAGGTATAACAGGTTTTTCACCCAACGGTTGTTTGTATCACCTAAAAATAATGGAGATAAATATAGGGTTATACATATAAATGATCAGGATGTCCGTCCGTCTGTTCAAGCGATAACATGAATAAAGACCACTTACACGCCCACATAACGTCATCACACGAAAGTTTATAAAAAAAACCATAACCGAATCAAGGTAGGTAAGGGACACCTGCGGGATAAAAAAAAAATATAAAAAATGAGCCCTGTCCCGCCTTTTAAGAGGTTTAATGTATACATATGTATATAGTTCAAGGACAATATTTTGGGTGCCACAACCGACACAGTCAAAGTGGATGAAATTATGTACTAACCCCGCCCACTCCCCATACAACAGTTCCGTTTAGAAATACCTAAAGCCGAAAAATCAATAAATAAATATATATAATAAGATATTAAATTTTAGGCCTAGGATAACTTTATACCTGGATAAAAATTATTACCATTGTATTTGTTTGACTTGTAAAGCTTAAATAAGATTTGTTAGATCCTTATATGCGTATTGCATATAAATGCATACGCTGTATGTGTGTTGCATATAAATGCATGTATATTTATATGTTGATTTATGTACGTTTTGTACTGCCTCTATCTTATCTGTATAATTCATTAGAATAGTAAGATTTTTCTTATCTTATTTAACATTGGTGAAATATATTAAAAAAATATAATGTTGTTGTCCGTCCTGTGGTAGCAACAAACATGTTCAATTTTTAACACTTTCCCAGGCGACAAAAGTAACTACAGTTTGTGATCGTTCCATGTTCGCCAACTACATAAGTGACGTTCACGATGACTATGTGCCTTTCTGTTTTGAATTATTGAGAGTTTGCTCATAATTTTTCCTGCAACTTCGTTACAGAGGTATCCTGCTGACTTTTCCTCTTTCACATCGGACGACGGTGTACATCAGAGAGCTGCAAAGAGTATGATAAAATCAGAACAAACAGTCGTACCAAAAACACAATCAAATCAATTAAGTTCAGCATAGACAACATTGTTAATCAATTCGAGTTGCCGCCAGCGTCAACTGATCTAACGCAACACGAACAATCTGCTCTTCGGCTCAAAATCATAGCTCAAACGATTGCTGCAGCTCTTTCAAGTATTCTTAACCGATCTTCCTTTTCATTTTACTGAGGATGTCATGCTGTTTGATGAAGCAAATGAAGGTTGAATAATGCGTAATTGCTTTATTGTCAATCGATGGTTCTTTGCAAATATTAGGTTGTCAAATATCTCCCTTCTCCATTGGTAATGTGATCGAATTTAGTTAAAATATGCGCCATTTCGTTCGTTAATCTGTTTCCATCAAGACGGCAACTTCAGAATACTTCTCTCGTAGAAGCTCCCTTCCTCATTTGAGCAAGAACTCGGACAACCACTTTCACAAGCCTCTTCTGAGTTCAACTTTTTACCAAGGGCGTTCGTTGGACAGAAACAGATGGTGGCGCTATGTCCGGGCTATATGGCGGATGCGATGAAACTTCTTATCAGAGCCTCCGTAGCTTCTGACGAGTCATCAGCGAAGTGTGTGGTCTGGCGCTGTCCTGGTGGAACACTACTCCGTTCCTGTTGGCCAATTCTAGACGCTTCTGATCGATCGCCTGCTTCAAGCGCTCCAGTTGTTCGCTGTAGATGGTAGAATTAAACCTCTGGCCATATGGGAGCAGCTCATAATGCATGATTCCCTTCCAATCAACCACCAAACACACAGCAAAACCTTCCCGGCTTTGAATCTATTTGGGACGATTCACCGGCCCCCGACCACGACTGTTTTCCCTTGATATTGTCGTATGTGATCGGTTTACCACCGCCAGTCACCATACTCTTCAAAAATGGGTCGAGTTTGTTTCATTTCAGCAGCATATAGCAGGATTCGGTCCAGAAGGTTTTTTTGCGTCAAATCATGCGGCACCCAATCATCAATATTTTTTGTGTATCCAGGATTCTGCAGATGGTTTAAAGTGGTATAGTGACTAACTTCCATTTTTTGGGCAATGTCCCGAGATAACACATGCCGGTTTAACTCGATAATTTCCATGATTTGATCGGTATTCGTCGTCATAGGTCTTCCACCGGCTGGCTTATCCATGGTGTCGTTTTTACCCACTCTGAATCGTCGAAGCCATTCCTCCGCAGTTCGAAGTGATAGAGTATACTCCCCAATACACCATTACTCTCACGGAACGTTTTTCTAGCGGATTTGCCTTTAACGAAGGAAAACTTTACAATAGCGCGAATTTCGGCGTTAATGAACTCCATGTTTACACGTCTATAACTTTTGAACGCAATATCCAAACTAATCATGCATAACGTCGTTTTTTAGGTTATGTCAAGACCTTTCAAACGTATTGTATTGCCCGGTACGAGCTCTGTTACACTTTATACATAGCAGCGAAATTTAACACCCAATGCGAAAGGGAGATATTTGACAATCTTTCAATTCGTGTTTTGAAAATTGACAATCATCATGATTTTCAATAAATGCGAATACTTCTTCCATCGCTGAAGTAATAGAATCACTTTCAGGATGACGACTAATGGTTTTCAGAAACGAAGTGTAACAATCACTGTGATACTCAGAATTTTCAGCAACTAAGTCATATTCATACTGGACGCTCATCAGGACGAGTCTGAGCTTCCTTCAAGATGGTTTTCTTGAAGCCAAGCTTGAGATACTCTACGTCGAAGATGCTGAGGTTTTTTCAATTCAGCCATTTTATTTGCTTTAATGCGACAGACAAACAATATTTGTTGAAACAAAAAGACGATTCATTACCTCATGCTCTAGTACAAGGAGGAGTAATCCCAGATGTGGTAGCTATCTCCGCCTCACGCTATCTTTTAGCTGCAACGATGGCGCTGTTCCATGTGTATGCTTTTCGGCACTGCATATCTATCGGGACCGATGTTTTGTCCTTCAAATACGATCACAACCACAATTTCACTTTCAGTCAAAAGATTCATTGCAAATGAAGCAAATTTCTGACATTTTTACAGAGAATATAGTGCACATCTATCTATTCACTTCGAAAAATCGTTCCAAACTGAGTGCATTTACCAGAGCTGTTCTAATGTTTTTTGTTCAAATGGTTAACCCGACGACGCATACTGGCCACGTATGAGTGCATATTCGTATTTTCTATGGAGATTTTTGAGAGTAATTGGACCTTAAGAATTCAGCGAACATATTAGAAATAGTGTGATTGTCACTGGACATACTAGACTTATATTTCATAGCACACGGAAAATTAGAAATCCTGCGTTTGGAGTTGACGAAATAATAGAACAATTTTGGATTACGTATAATATTATTTATTTATTTATTTATAAAACGTGAAACAATAATACAATTACTTTTCCACGAAAAAAGGAGCACTGGCTGCCAGGACCTTCGGCTCGCTGATGTAAATATAAAATGTATAGTTATTGCTTAATTAAGTCTTAGGTGTAAAGTTAATAAAATGTTCTGTAGCTAATAGAAGAGYTTTAAGAACAAAATAAATAATAAGTAATGGGAAGTTTAAAAACATAATCATATTTGTGGTTTTAATCCTGTTTGTACTAAGAATGCTGATATTTTTGTTGTTTTCGGAGGAGCTCGTTTGTAACAGAGCAGACGGTATTTGGTCGTCTAACATATTTTTTCTAATCGCTGCGAAATGTGGGCAGTCGTCGAGTAAATGATAGGCTGTTAAAGCTAACGACGGGCAGTGTTGGCAGACTGGTGGACTAGAACGATTTAGGAGGTGCGCATGTGTTGCAATTGTGTGTCCTAGGCGTAATCGGATAAATGATTTGATGTCGTTGCACCGGCAGCTGAAGGGATAGCTTGGTTTTATCCTGTTCGGGTTATTCGCAGTATATDGGTGCTGGATAGATCTCCAAGTCTCCATATGTGAGTTATATTGGAGCTGCGATATACACTTATACAAGTCTTTTTTCATAATATAGTCAAAAGTTATTAG